TTCAGCAGTGGACGTCCTAGGGCTGAGATGATGATGATGATGATGAAGCCCATTGTAAGCTCCAATTGGCGTTAATGGGGATTGTCAGCGGGGAATAGTGGAATAAGCCGAAAAGTCCAGTTCATTGTTGATTTGTATTCGAGTTGTCACCTTCAAAGCGCACGATCGTCGCTGGCAGGTTTGAAGTGGCACGTAAAAGTTACTAAGTTCGATCAATTCGCGTAAATTGGCCCGCTTGTTGCTAACGAAGTAACGGCCGGCGATATTCGATCACCGGTGCGTAGGCGTCGCTAATTCAATCCGTGTCACTAACGACACGTTGTACAGTTAAGTTGCTTACACATTTTCGTTTAACGTTCGATTTACTTTTTGATACGCTATTTTACTTATTAGAAGGTACTTATCTTTTTGTACCATCATGTCTTTACTTCGATTTCAACCGTTAATTCTACGACTAGTGTGGCCGTTTATTTCTAATCTGTAATTAAATCTGCCTGTATTATAAGCAGGTACATAACTTAAAAGCTCTAGGAGTTGCCTGAGTTGGGAGTTGTGTAGCAAACAAAATCCAAAATTAATTTTAAGTGTAAAATACCTTTAAATAAGTAATACAAATAACGCCCACTTTCATGTGCAGCTCGTTACTTCGACTACGCGTTACAGAAACTTCACAACTTTTACATCGTCTGAAACGAGGGCATTTACGGCTGAAAATCCCACATTTTGCATGTGTGTGAACGTCGTTATTTTTAATTATTATTTCGTGAATATAATGAAACAAAGGTTTCTCTTTGAACACGTAAAATAACACTTTATAAAACCTACCATTTCTGATGAAGTGTTAAGTTTATTTAACACACAGGTACTTATCACAAGTAAAATGTAAAATTGTGTTAATATACTTCTCATTCCCACTACAGTAATTCTTTCAGCACAGGCTGTAATAAAACGACACCCAATTGACTCATTTATGAAAATGCCGAATGAATGAATGAATCGGTCCTGGCCATTTTGTGAATTCAGAAAAGTATGTTGTATTATCTACGCTCAGACATTTCGGTAAACAGTGTTCATATTAGCGAGAAAAATACATTATTGCTGCCCAATTACCCACTCAATAGGGCTAATAATAACGTATAACAGATTAATATAATAAGATAAACGTGTATTATTATGTGCCGAGATACATAAATCGGTCATTCTCCGGATCTGGATTATTTTGTTGATTACCCCGACCTTTTTTATTTTTGAATTTAGAGTAAGTTTAGGTAAAACATTTCAAAATAGACATTATTACGAGCATATTTTTTATATTGGCCCATCTGTAGCAAGCTGGAATAAAAAGTTATGCGACATCAAAATTTTCATGGTCGGGGTAATCAAAGTTGGTAGTCAGAGTAATCAAAAATAAAACAAAATATTTTATTTTCTAAGGTTTTTTTAAGTTATGGTAAAATAAATGTTATTATAACTAGCCATTTGTTATTTTGATGTATAAACGACAATATTGTAAAGTTTCAACAAAATCTGTTAAGTAGTTGTTGCGTAAAAGAGTAAAAAATATACATATACATTATACATATAATATTAGTAACTCAATGTCCTATGTCTCCTATATGGGACAGAAGGCGTCCACAACAGTCCTCCATCGCATTCGGTCTTGAGCTTCGTGTTTGATCTCGCTCCAAGTCTTAACAGTGCGCCGCTATGTTTTTTTGGCGCAACCACGTTTGCATTTTCCCTGGGGGTTCCAATCTAGAGCCTGCTTGGGGATGTGATCGGGGTCCCTTCGGAGAGTGTGGCCGATCCAGTTCCACTTGCAGCGTTTATTCTGCTGAAAGATCGGTATTTCGTGGCAGCGTTCCAAAAGTTCGTCGTTTTGATAACGATGACACACATTATTTACCACTATTTAGGTCGATTTAGGTATAAGAATAGGATTTAAGCAGTGTTGCCAGTCGGGCCTAGTCAGAAATTACCAGAAATATAAAAAAAAGTAACCTTTTTGAATCAAAAGTAACCTTCATACTATTGATATAAGAACTTCTTTGTAACAAAATATGTATTGTTTATGGTAGCATGTGAAAGAAATAAAACACAGTCGTTGCAAAAATCTACGTTTGTTTCAATAGGTTATGGGCCTAAACAATTTTATCAGATTTATTTTAGTACAAAATAGATAAATTGTGTTACGTTATTTTTGCGGAAACAGAATGGCTACGAACTATATTGCAAATGTGCCAAAATTGAAAGGCAGGGAGAATTACGACGAGTGGTGTTTTGCGGCAGAAAACCTACTGGTTTTAGAAGGCATGGTTATGTATATAAAGCCAACGGATGACTTTGAACTAAAACCGATAGACGACGCAAAAACGAAGGCAAAGCTAATATTGACGATTGACCCAGCATTGTACGTGCACATAAAGAACACTAAGAGCTCGGCAGAATTATGGAATACACTGAAGACCATGTTCGATGACTCTGGTTTCTCAAGGAAAATAACCCTACTTCGACATTTGATATCTATACGACTCGAAAATTGCGACTCAATGGCTACCTACATAACGCAAATAGTCGAAACGGCTCAACGGTTAAGTAGAGATGGGTTATACTAGGTAAATTTGATACTAGGTGCACCTATTCCTAGTATTTATTAATACTCGATCCAAATACCTATTCCACCTAGTACGTAGTAATTTAGCATACTTGACGCGACTAGTGCGGACTAATCCACGTAATATTATTTTGACTTTAAAATACAATTTTCTTTGAAAAGATACAACCGTAGTATGAATAATGCAATTTGAAATTGAATAATAATATTTTTGCTGGCTGTTGATTGATTGATATCGTCCCTTCATACTTCAACAGGCTTAGTTGGCGTATTTAAAAAATATCAATTTCATAAAAATATTAATGGGTTGACTATGTTTGTGTGCGTTTGCTTCGTCGCGCTCAAATTTGTTTGGTCAGACAGAGACGGAGTGAATCTCTACGTTCGCACATAAGCTTAGCGAGAAATACTCGGTGCGCGTAATATACGACTACGGATTACGCAATAATAACCTCTATTACTTTGATGGTAGGGTCGGAAATCGTGTAATTTATAAAATACTAGGTGGATCAAGTATTTTAAAAATTGGAATAGGTGCCGCCTAGTATTGTAAAATACCTAGTGTGTGGATCTGTTCTAGTAAATACGTCTCATCTCTAGTTGACTGACTCATGGGCGAGCGCGGGTAGTGGGGCGTGGGACGGGGGGCGCAGCGCTTGCCCGGGTCACCGGGTGAGCGCCGCGCGCCGTTTGCGTTGGGGGACTATTCTGCACTGTAGTGGTCGATTATGGAAATCGTAGATATTTAAAAAATAATAATAAAAAATTTTGAAGTCAGTTTTTTTGCTGATTCGTGATCAGAATAAGCTACTTAATCTACTCCCTAAATATGGCGGGTATTGAAATCAACACCCTGTATAATAAATTACACTACGCTAAGAAATGTTTTTCTTAATTTATTTTCTTTGAGGCATAGTCATTCTTTTTATTATTTAGGAAAATAAACAATGGTAACAGGGTGGTATTTTGTAATGCCACCTGGAGGGAAAGTACCTACTGCTAATATTGTATTGTAGATAGAAAAAAAATCTCAAAGAAATAGTGTCCGACCGAAACTAGTTTTACGACCGAAACCGAAACCGAAAACGAATTTCGGCAACGGTGTCTATTTCGGCCGAAACCGAAACCGAAACTTCCTTACAAGGTTCATATTTTGAGGGAAAAATAAAGAAAACGTTATTATAATCAGTCAGTCTTTATTGTTTTCTCTTTAAGTTGCATTAAAATTGAACTTGAGCGTCTTTTTACTCTAAAAGGTATCAAACTAAGTATGTATTAAGAAAGAAAAAGAAGGATTTATAGTCTAGATTTTTTTTAATTACTCGCAATATTCAGGACATCTACATAACCCGTCCCGTCCCATGGTCGGGTCTTTTATCTTAATAATTTCTCAAAACAAAATTGGTAGTACGTAAGTTAGTATCTACTGTACTTGCCACTTGGATACCTTGGGGATAAATACTAAAATGAACTTTGAAACTCTGAATCCATAACAATTATCAGTCATATTTAATATTTTTTTTTATGTTTACTACCCGCTCTTATGTTATAACGACAAAACGAGATAAAACCTACCAAATTCAAAATAAATCACTCGAAAACTCGCCACCACAACAGAACAAAACTAACAGCAAACAAACAAGCGAACGAATCACGACATTGGCTTTAATCGGATTCCTTCACTCATTCAACGCGCTGAACATGACCGATAACAGCGCGGAAACTCCCGAATGCACATTCGGTTTCGGTCGTAGTTTCGGCAAGTTTGCCGCCGAAAACGAAACTAAACCGAAACTCGTGTTTTTACCGAAACTAAACCGAAAACGAAACCGAAACCGAACATTCGGTCGGACACGACACTACAAAGAAAACATTCCTTTATTTTTGAAAAGAAATGGAACTGCATTCAAAGATTTCCAAAAATTTGCTTGCCACACCCGGGAATTGAACCAACTAAAATCTGTTAAAAATTACATCCTGTATTTTTATTACATTGATCGTTAGGGTTAAGTATAAGGATGAAATCTCTCTAACAAACTTTATAAATCAAATCAAAGGAAAGCCATGAAATCTTAAATTATTATAATTATGTACAGAAAATTGTATGGTATGGTAGTGAATTTTTAAAAAATTTTTGAAAACCTTTGAATGCAGTTTTGTTTCTTTAAAAAAATAAAGGAATGTTTTCTTTCAGTAAAATTTTCTATTCTACAGTATTAAGAGTACTTTCCCTCCAGGTGGCATTACAAAATTCCACCCTGTTGTATTATAGTAACGCTCTGGCGTAAAAGTGCCAGTAGCACTGTCCACAGGATCCTGTGAATTCCTGTGGACGATGAGAAACTTCTTGCTGCACAATAATCAGTGCGTCTAAGATTTTTTTTAAAAGTCCATAATTGTTATTTCCAGCGACTCCATTCGGCCAGGCGCCAGTGCTGGAGATCGATGGCAAGAAATACGCCCAGAGTTTGGCCATCGCTCGTTACCTCGGCCGCAAGTATGGGCTGGCCGGCGCGACTCCCGAGGAGGACCTCGAAATCGACATGTACAACGATTTCGTGAACGACATCCGTGCGAGTGAGTACAAAAATACACTTGAAAATTTCGACAAGCTTACCCAATGTCAAATCCCGTCAAGCAAAGGGCCCTGGGCTTTGTATTAACACATTATTATCATCAGCCTACATTAGTTTTATGGACAAAAGCATCACCCATGCCTCTGGGCAGCTTTTGTCAGCTATCTATTGCAAAACATCTCATACTATCCTTGCCCATACTGATTGAATACTTATAAAAAAAAAAACATATACGCCTACAACCCAATAAGTAAAAATTATAGACAAATCGATATACTATGATGTCCCAAGTAACCACGTATCGCTATTTTTGCATGACTTTGACGTGACGTCATCATACCCGTACTTATGTACTGCCTGCTATAAAACTCATAAAAGCATCATAAACAAATCAATATAAAGGGTTCATCTGTGGTTTGCAGAGGCTGCCAGCGTACAGTATGAGAGCGACGAAGTGTTAAAAGAGAAGAAGCACGAGGACTTCTCTAAGAATGTGTACCCGGCTATGCTCAGCAAGCTCAACGAAATCGTCGGCCAGAACAACGGACATATCGCTGTTGGAAAGGTAGAGTACCTACAACTATAACACCTTTCTCACCGCGAGGATAGCTATTGTGTAGGGCCAAAAGGGCAAAGTTTTCTACTGACTAAAGCCCGGTCCGTGAGCACTTAGAATTTTGTCCAATGACCCCTAGCTACCCATCCTTATCGCTCGCGTGTAATTATATTGCTGTCGCGACTGTGCGACTGGACTGGCACCCACAGTGAGTGTGCGAGCGCGATAGCAACATAATTCCGCGCGAGCGATAAGGATGGGTAGCTAGGGGTCATTGGACAAAATTCTACGTGTTCACGGACCAGACTATAAATATTTTTTTAACCCGTATCAAAATTTGTTGGGGGGCCCAAACGTTAAAGGTCATAGCCCTTGCCTTTTTCATCTAAAAAAGGTCGTTAATCCGGCCCTGGCGAGCCCCTGTAGCTCGGGTCCCTGTAACCCAGAGACTCCGTATCATTGATACGACGGTAGCTACGCCACTGTCTCAATTAGTCTCAAAAGAGGGATCCCCTTGCTATTCATAAATCTCTTGTTTTATTTTTGGCATTTACTTGAATTTGGGAACCAAAATACATTTAATACGCGACTGACTGACGTCAGCGTAGCGTAGGAGCATAATCTGTGGTAGGAGGTTGACAGCTTATAAAAAAGTATTCAATTGACTAGTGATGTCAACTACCATATTAAACATCGAGTAATCATTCTTATTCCAGCTGACGTGGGCAGACTTCGTATTCGCGGGTATGTACGACTACCTCAAGATGATGCTGCGGATCCCCGACCTCGACACCAAGTACCCTAACCTCAAAAAGGTCGTCGATAACGTGTACTCGCTGCCTCAACTGAAGGCATACCTGGCTGCCGCACCCAAATGCGATTTCTAAGTCACAGGCTTAAGGATTAGAATCGTGTTCACGGTCCTAGCGTAAACTTATATGACTACAGCATAGTTCTTGGCAGTTTGGAACTCAAGGAGCAAGATTCGCTAGTGACTGAATCATTTAGTCGAAGTCGAACAGTCTAAATTATATGAGAAGCCTTCTAATAAAAGCGCTCTATTTGGTGCTAATTGCTAACGCCTTTTTTTGTTAATTTTACTCTGTAGCGCAGTTACATAGATACTCAACGTAAATGAGTTATTTGGGTACATTTCACGTATTTCTTTAAGGTACGCTCGAGAATTCTTATAAGATAAATGTTTTTCAGTATTTCATTTAAGAGCCATTTCACAAAAATATTCCGCGCGAATTTAGGTAAAAGCTGTCAACGCAACGTCAAAAGAGTAAAAAGAACGCTGAAATGGACAAAAAAATCTTGATTGAGTTATTAATTTTAAGGTAGAATGAGGTATTGAAACTTGATTAATTAATTTAAATTTTTAATAGAGTTTATTAAGTCTTTTATATTTCGATTCATAATGAAACACGAATAGGTATAATATGTAAAATNAAGCATTGAAAGCGGTAATAATAACGGATTAATTTATACGAACAAATTTGTTCTGAAATCGGGAGCGCGGACAAGTCGTGGTAATCAATTTTTGACGACTTACGATTTTTTTTAAATTACTTAATTAACTATTATTAACTATCTCTGTGGTTTAACAACAAGAACCAAAGTTATACTATTAGATAAAAATATTTGTTACTAAAATATTATGATATTCGGGTACTTTTTGGCCCCGGACACGTGATTTTCTTGGCCGGTGGAATGACCCAAATAGACAATAATTAATTTGAATTATGTGATGGATCTGAAATAAGTAGAAGTGTCGGATCAATTTTCCTCGAAACGTGCGAAATAAACGTTGTTACTACGTATAGGAAACAATTTATCGGAAATATTAAGTATAGTAAAGTAGTAACAATAGTGCGATACTTATTAAGTAGTAGTAGTAGGTACCTACTTTTGGTTAGTATATGTTACAACATTTGATGCAGGCTCTGAAAGATGTAAATACTAAGTTAGAGCCGAAAGCGTAACAATAACAAACAACTTGGTTTTGATTAGTATTTTTTAATTTCCCGAGTTTATTCGTATCTAAATAATTATAATCTAATTTGTGCTTAAATCAATACAATAGCATATCAATTAACTTGAAACTTAGACGGATTTTTTTTTATTATTAAGCTCTATTTATTTCGGCAGGATGTAGGTTACTTTAAATAAACAACAAGAACAAACAGAACCGAATTAAAAATTGAAGATCATCGCGTCTTAAGCTTCCAAGAAAACTCAAGGTTTTTCTAAAGATTGTATTTTATTCCGTAACTTCCTTAGTTGAAAGATAAACTGAAGACTTATAATTTTCTTACTTTATTTTTAAATAGAAGATAAATTTTTTTTTATCAGATGATTTTTGTGAGTACGTCATCCCTTAAAATTAAATTATTACCTAACAAAGATTTTTCGGGGCAGGTCGGTAAAAATGGATTGATGTTAGACGCTGGAAGATTAAGATTAAATATTCTCCAACATCTGTAATGGTAATTCAATTTGTACCTTGAACATAATTTTAAAAATGGTGAAACGGTTCATCGCGAAATCAAACCTTAAGGGACTAAAAATACTGAATATTTAGTGGAATAGCTACGGTCAACAGCACAACAGACTGTGGAATTTTATTGCAAAATCGCCTCTATAATAACTAGTACATAAGATGCCACCGTGTTAACCTTGATGTGCAGTGGTCTACCTCACCTAGGTACACTTCCTGCTGGCGTGGCGATTTGCCAGCGCCTTTAGAAGTCTTATCTGCCAAATCCTGATTAAAATCGCCAGTTGGCAAACCGCTTGTCGGTAGGAATGAAAACAAAAAGTAAGTAGGTACCTATGGGTAATTACTTAGTTGCCAATATCAGAAACCACTTTTTTTCATTTTTTTTCAAGCGAGGAAAATGTTTTGCGCACCGTCGCGTCACGTCCGTCAGAAACCACCAAGTACTAAGTACTCATAAAAGATTTACTTTTGTTTATCATGTTTATTGTATGTATGTCATCATCATCATCATCCATCATTAAGTATTTCAGCCATAGGACGTCCACTGCTGAACATAGGCCTCCACAAATGATTTCCACATTGGCCGGTTAGTGGCGGCCATTGTGGTTGTATGGATGTGTTGTTCCTTAATCGATTTTCTTCAGTAAGACAATGTTTTCCTAAGCCATACATTGTTTAGTATAGGTAAGTTATTTATGGTTAGCTTAATATTTCAATTTATTGAATATTCACGACAGAGACGGATATGATTTAAACACAAACATTGCTCTCGGCAAGACATTTTATTAAGAGACATGATAACTACACGCCTGGGGGCTCTGTCAACAAGTTCTTAATTATAAAAGTGGTTGAAACGCGATGGGAACCACGGGCAAGTATCGTTACTAAGTGGTTAGTATTTAATTTCATTCTTACTATTTATATTTACAAGCAATAAACGTTTGTTTGTTATCGCGTAACAAAAACAGTTCGAAGGATATCAATATACAATGCTTAGGTTTGGGTGAATTTCAACAAGTGCATATTTTTGCCTAATTTTGGTGGAAATTGTTATTTGTGTATTTTTATTCTTTAATTATAGATCAAATTTATTGGAAACTTATACTGTTTCTAAAATTATTAAGACATTAAATTTTGTCCAGTAGTTTTTTAGATTTTCCTTACACCAAAATTAAGAGAACACCAAAATTTATATTAAAGCACCAAAATTAGAAAATATGCTGTCAGTCGGTCATATCTTAGTGCCAAGCTCAAGAAATGGTTTTAAATTTACCAGCACCGACTCCAAAAATATTAATCATGGTATATTGTCCTAATAAATAAATAACGACGTACTTATTTTCTACTTTTAAGTGATTGTTGGCGTCGGTTTTAATTTTTTAGTTAAAATTATTTTTTTTCATGCTTTTTAGTTGATTAGTCCTTGTTATTGTAACTGAAGAGGGACAGTACCTATGTTTAATGTGATTAAGACTATAATTTTCCATTTTGTAATGGAAAATTATAGTCTTAATCACAATCCAAGTGTAAATAATCTTCCTAGCAAANAATAATGGTAATGAAATTCAAGAATCTATTTCATTAATGAACTACAAGAATATATGTCCGATGATTACTTTATATTTTTAAGCTTATTATATGAGCATAAATAATAGATACAGGACTTTGAAAATGAGTCAGCGGCAATTTTTTCGTAAAATGGTTGTGGGAGATGGGGCACAGTGAATTAAGCAAAAGAGTTTTAGTAAATCCGTTTCATTAATGGTCAACAACAAGGATCGACCTATCTTTCGCAGTTATTAAATAATCTCTGGGTGTTGCTTAAGATAGTAATTCATGCTTCCAAAATCTTAGAAATTCGCACGAAAATGTAAAATGGCTCTTAAGAAACTGTATTACTATATTTTATTTTTGCATGTATTACTGTCCAGCACAAACGTGTATAACGCTTTTGTGTGTATTTTATCACTTAAGGTTATTATAAACAGTGTATTACAAAGTATTTCTACAGCATTTATAATACATAAGAATATTTTCTGATGTACCCAGTGCAATGTTTGAAGTGCCTACCTATTTTAATAAAATATTATAATTACATTTCTAGCCTTTTAATTATATTATTTTAGTTATACCCCAACTGACCAATAATTAATATTATGGATCGTCTTGTCTTCGCGCAGCTTTATTACATAGCAAGATTTTTACCTGTGTATACGCTTGCCACACTGCTGACTTCTAACAATTTGAACTTGAAGTGTAATAAGTTTTGTGTGTTACACGACTTAAAATCAACGCACTCCTCTCCGCGCTTTGGTAGAAGGCCCTAAAAAATAAATATTCCTTCAAGATTTAAAAGAATTCCGTCTCCGCACCGCTCCGCCTTGGTGGAAACTGGGCCTAAGGCTGATAGGCGATCCCTTTTGCCTATGATATTTTGATACTATGAACTGAAGTGCAATGATTCTCATCGACAAAATATCGATAATTTGCCAGGACTATCATAGTTTACACAAATGACATTACCTCGTCCCCCGCAGGAAATGGCAGATTTTTTGCATAGAAATAAACGCGCGCTACACCTGTCGTTAATACCTCTATGTGTGGGTTCCTACCGACGAAGAATTTCAACGATTGAACTATTCAATTAAAGTACATAAGCCCAGCTGTACATCACTATTGCTATAATTTAAAAAAAGCAAATGTCAAATCTCACGCACTCGTCAGTTTGACACACAGTTTGAAGTTGACAGCTGTCGAAGCCAGCTGGACTTGGGCAAAAGTTTGAATCTTTTTATTTCGCGTTATTTTACAAGTTTGTGAATGCAGTTAGCTTTATTTAAAATAAACTTTACACAAAATTCAGTGCTGCACATATAAAACTAGTCAAAATGGCGCAAGCAGCAAGTGCACCGCCGAAAGAGCGGTATATTCCGAATGGATTGAAATTTGCCTTTGGTGGCCTTGCTGGGTATGTTTCTGGGATTTATTTTAAGATTACGACTTGTCCTTTATCAAGAATCAATGTCAATAACTTTCTATTAACACAGGTTTTAAATAATCGCAGAGATTAAAATCTTTTTTTACATTTTATGTTTTTAGGGATATTGTAGCTGATATCCAAGATAATGCCTCGGTCAGCACTATATCGCTAATTATTTAGTTCAAAACACACATCGTGGTCAGCATTGACCTTCAATTTATTACACAATTCCAATTTCTTGTATCGTTTAAGATTATGTAAGAGGTTATGTGGTACCACACTATCCAAAAGGATTGAAAATATTAATTAAATTCTTCTTAATGAAATTCTCATATTTTGATTGTATGTGCATGTAAATTATGATGAATAATATGAATTTTAAAAATTGCAAGTAGAAAAGTAAGTATTCAGAAGGAAGCAATAACTGACTAATGTTAGTAAAAACTTTTTATTACAAAACAGTATACAGGGTGTTCGTTAGTGGTCTAGCCAAACTTCTTGGGTGTTTAGGTTGAGTAATTACCATTCATCTATTTGACCATGTGAGCAAAATTTTCAATTATTTTTTTGTTTTTGTCTAATAATTGTTGCATTGCTATAGTTATTGCCAAAGTTTAACACAAGTATAAAAACTGACAAAGAACTCAACTTTTTTAATTTTAAAAAGTTTAAAGCTGTTCAAGGATTTTGAAGATTTTGAATAGTTTTAAAAACATTTCTAGCTTCTCTCCTTTCCAATTGATATATCACATGCAGTAATTAGATAAGATATTGAAATTCGTCATAAATTCAAACATTGGAAAAATAACACAAAAATAGACTACATAATATTTTATTCAAACATTCCCTTCCAGCCTCTCAAAAATTACCTAAAAGTTTAGGCAAGAAAGCTCAATGTGGTCTCAATTGCTTGAAAGCCAGTATAGTGCTTTTAGTATCGTAAACACAAGAGTTGGAATTGAAATCTGAATAATATACAAAGCTAACATTGAAAGTGAAAACAGATACTACCGCGATGCAGGGAACATAAAACGCCATCTCTTGATATTTTAGGGAACTTTATTTATAAATAGGGGTTGTAACTTTTATTATACCCTCACTAGTTCACTGGGGGTCTAACTTGCCAATTTAAAATCTCTTTCTACTTTTCTAACTTTATCTCTGGAAGATAAATACATTAGGGCAAATTTTTTCAATCATCTGATAACTCTTAACTAAAAAACCACTTTCGCACATTGACAGTTTCAGAATGGGAAATATTGTCAAAATGATAAGTTTAATATAATATTTTAAACTTTCTGTATTATAAGTTTATTCTTCAGTTAAAAGATTTGACGATTGAAAAATTAGCCCCAAATCAATCAGAAATACAAGTCCTTTACATTTTGCTTGTTTTGGTACAGAATGGCGGCAACCTGTGTTGTGCAGCCCCTCGACCTGATAAAGACACGGATGCAGCTCAGCGGTGGAGGCAGGTCGTCCTTCGCTGTGGCCGGAGAGATTGTAGCCAGAGAGGGCTTCTTCAACCTGTACACAGGACTCTCCGCTGGCCTGCTCAGACAAGCCACTTACACCACTACAAGACTCGGAGTGTACAATTATCTGTTCGATGCCTACAAAGAGTGAGTATGATTCAAAGACTGCTAAGCCTAAGCGCAGACCACCGATTTTTTGTCGGGCGATAGTTTAGACGGGCAGTTAATCAGTATGGGCATGTATGGAAGTGCGCACTTTACACAAATTAATTCTTCATACAAATTAGAATCGGGCCCAACTATCGGCCGATTAAAAATCGGTGGTCTGCGCCTAGGCTTAATTCTTGACAGGTTGTCGGTAATTCAGATACAAATACTGCTTAAATGGGTGTGTATGCCATCAATCACTAAGTCATATCATAGTTTGTTTCAATCGAGAAGAGCTCAAGTTGTAATCTACATTTTGTTAAAAATTAGCTTAAGGTCCGGTTTCCACCAAGCCAGAGCGGAGCGGAGAAAAGTGTCGGCAGTAAATTTTTTCTATAGAATATGACAGCGGCGCGGCGGCGGCACGAAGCGAAGAGAAGTGAATAATTAAATCTGATTGGTTATTCAAAATACTTCTCCGCTCCGCTCTGCTCCGTCTTGGTAGAAATCGGGCCTAAAGGATCATGAATGCCTCATTCTTTATGTTACCTTACATAGAACTTTGACGATCTACGTGAGTAAAACGTAGGTGTAAATAAGTTACGTGCATGCGCACGCAAATGTATGAACGATATTGTTTTTTTAATTTATTCATAAATAGCATATGGAGTTGTCCCAGAAAACAAGAAAACAACATCTGCATTGAACTTTGAAGGTGATCTAACAATAATATGACGTCTTAATATTTCTTGAACAATGTTCAAAAGACTGGTCCAAGTCCTTTACTGGTCGTCGGCCTTTTCCCGGAGATAAAAACTATCAATTTTTTTCCCTGGGTCTCAAAGTCTCTCTATAAAGTACCTACACTTGCGAGCAAAAATATGGAATCACTTACATGAAGTTGTTTCCACGCGATCTTGTGTACTAACCAATTTGTTAGTAACAAAAAAAGTAGCACCATTTTAAAGATTAAACTTTTAACTTTAAATTGATACCAAATTCATTTAAATCACACCAGTATTTAAAAAGATATCCCGGCTGATGTAAAGAAGTAAGGAAAAAGACATGTATCAACTGTTTGATACGTCGCGAGTTGCGGCCTATTTACCCCCCATAAAAGCAAGTGTTTTCGGATTTTTGCTTTCACACGTTGATCCATACACATCTCCGCTTCTTTTGACACTTTACCTGGGATTCTACACCTTCAGAAGCAGCACAAATCGTTGCACTATTGCAAGAAGGGCTCAGCCAGCGGGCTGTCGCACGTCAGCTCCACATAAGCCAGTCCTGGGTTTCGAAAGTTTTAAGACGCTTTCGGGAGACTGGTGGCTTTATCCCGAGACCAAGTTCTGAACATTGCCGGTGCACATCGCAGAGGGAAAACCGTTTTTTCATGTCAACTTCTCTACGAAATCGTCATTTGACTGGTATCGACGTCCAGCAAGAGCTCAGAAATGTTCGTAGGATAGCTGTTAGCAAGTGGACAGTTCGTCTAAGATATAAACAATAGAATTTGACTCCAAAAAGGCCTGCCACAGGCTTGAAACTGACGGCAGGTCACCGATAAGCACGCTTTCAATTTGCTCCTACACATCTCGATGGAAAGTCGAGCAAGCCACCCCCATAAGCCAATGTTTTAGCGAACCAGCACTGCACAAATCGCTCCCCAGGCCGTCTATAGACCCGACCTCTTCGACTGCTGCACTGCAAAAACAGTCTGCATTCATCGGAGAACAAAACTCGCCTCCATTACTCGCCTTCCGAGTGCGAGCTAATTGAAAGCGTGCCTGTCGGTGACCTGCCGTCAGTTTCCAGCCTGTGGCAGGCCTTTTTGGAGTCAAATTTTATTGCTCATATCTTAGACGAACTGTCCACTCGCTAACAGCTATCCTACGAACATTTTTGAGCTCTTGCTGGACTTCGATACCAGTCAAATGACGATTTCATAGAGAGGTTGACATGAAAATACGGTCATCCCTCTGCGATGTGCACCGGCGCTGTTCAGAACTTGGTTTCGGGATAAAGCCACCAGTCTCCCGAAAGCGTCTTAAAACTTTCGAAACCCAGGACTGGCTTATGTGGAGCTGACGTGCGACAGCCCGCTGGCTGAGTCCTTCTTGCAATATTGCAACGATTTGTGCTGCTTCTGAAAGTGTAGAATCCCAGGTAAAGTGTCAAAAGAAGCGGAGATGTGTATGGATCAACGTGTGAAAGCAAAAATCCGAAAACACGTGCTTTTATCAGGGGTAAATAGGCCGCAACTCGCGACGTATCAAACAGTTGATACATGTCTTTTTCCTTACTTCTTCACATCAACCGCGATATCTTTTTAAATACTGGTAAGATTTAAATGAATTTGGTATCAATTTAAAGTTAAAAGTTTGATCTTTAAAATAGTGCCACTTTTTTTGTTACTAACAAATTCGTTAGTACACAAGATTGCGTGGAAACAACTTCATGTAAGTGATTCCATACTTTTGCTCGCGAGTGTAGATCTAAATTGGTTCAGTTGTTTTACAGAGTGGTCTAGAATTTAAACGTATTAAATTAATGTAAGAAACTCAAAATAGTATTATGCAATGCTTTAAATTCGGCATTTATCTGAAATTGAATTATGTAACATTGAGTTACTATCACCTTAATTAACTCTTTGAACCTAGATTTTAAAAGTTTCGTAAATATTAATCGCAATAATATTTGGATAAAAACTAATTTTACAAAGAGATGGTTGTTATTTTGAAAACTGTTGAATTGTCATTCCGTGACTGTCTAAATATTCAGTTTTTCCCTTACTTAAACTATCTAGTAGTGAGACCAATAAAAATAATGAAAGAATTACTATCACACAAAAATATAACTTAACTGTAGGTAGTTCAAAAGTTTATCTTTTAAAAATATGTTTATGTGTGATATAAGAAATTAATCGTATAAACAAACCGCATTGATTTCACGAAACGAATTTTAGTTAATTGATAACTTTAAAAAGAAATACTTATGTTTATCGTCAAATACCGGTAGCGTACAAGACTTACGTATTTCCTTTCTGGAGTACTTCAAGGCTCTATACTCAGACCTTTGTTGTTAAACATTGTTGTCATTGACATTTTGTGATTAACATATCTTTTATCAATACACTTCTATGTACATTATACTGCACCATTACATAATAAATACGTTGCACCACTCTAATAAGGTTCCATCGACTTTCGACCTCGTCACCTTTAAGATAACGAGCGCCATTGTGTGTTAATGGGCAGTGCTACTAGATGTTAGGATATACCAATGTTAGTCGGTCATTATTAAACAGTACATATTATCTATTTTTAAAACGAATGCTTATTAAATCATACGGTATAATTATTTATAAACTGGTTTTAAGCCTCATATTTAAAAATAGTTAGGTATTCGTTTAGGAATATAGGTACGAAAAGTGTTTACCAGAAAAAACGTAGATGCATTATTTTGTGCCTGCCACGTACTTACTACTAAGTGCATTAATATCAACAGACGCATAACAGAAAGGACTTACAATTTAGCTTTCATCACGATTTCAAGCAAGAGCAATTAAAGGAAAATGCGCACTTTTCTATACAAATGTAAGGACTGTAGCGTTTCTTTCTATTAAATTTTATACCGCCTACTTTATTTTCAGTTTGGCCCTAAGTTTGACTGGAGGAAAATGCCGAAGGCATTAAGTCCGCCTTGTGTACGCTGTTCTGTGGGCATATAAGTTTAAAATAAATAAATTAGTATAGAAAACTGTGCATTTCTGAAGTAGGTACACATTCTGCGTCAGAGCCGTCCTATTGAATGTCGTGGCATCTAATTACATCTTTGATATGGTTTCATTGATAAACCTAGCTACCAGCATCAGGCACTTGTCTATTAAACACTCCCGTTACAGGATGTCTCTGGTTACCATTGTTTTAACTACTTCATTTAGACAAATTGGACGCAGGAATTGCTGGTTTCATTTTAGCGGTTTGAAACATTCTGCGTATATTGCGAAGAGTACTTAAATTAAACAAGAAATCCAATCACATTCATTGTTTATAAAATGCCATATGCTTTTCTAAATTTCTAGTTAAGCCATTATTTTTAAGGGTTTAAGTGTATTTGAAAATTAATAGATCCTATTTGGATCCACATAAAAATTCAATATCTATGGGTCTAGACAAAGTGCACATTAATACCGCAAACCAGTCGAAAAGTGGTCGAAAGGCCTTTTTTTGTTTGGAGTTTTGACGGGTTCGATTTTCGATTCGATCAAAAAGTGCAACTTGTCTAGGGGGAAGTCTGTAGTCTGTTTTTTTTTTCAAAGGAATATTAGTAAACGCAAACTACTTGAAATATTAATCAAAACATGTTTTTCCCAGGAAAAACGCTGGCGCCGCGCCAGGTTTCGGCACCAAAACTTTGTTAGGGGTGGCTGCTGGCTCCATCGGGGCGTTCGTGGGGACTCCGGCGGAGGTGGCCCTCATCCGCATGACGGCGGACGGCCGGCTGCCTGTTGAACAGAGGAGGAACTACAAGAACGTCGCCGATGCACTTATCAGGTAAGGCAATCCTTCCTACTAGGAACTTATCTGTGCTACATAGCTCGTAGAACCAGGCCTGTTCATCTCCGCGAGTTTACATCGAAAACAAAACACGCACGATGGCCCACCTACAGGATACTATTCGACAAGGCCTCACATACGAGCCAACATTGACTCACGCACGTGTTAGAATTGTGGGCATTAGTCATTTGTAAATTGGGAAATATTAATGTATTAAAGCAGATTCTTTAATTAATAAAGTTACCACAAAAAGAAGAATAATAATAAGCAAAATTTAGCATAAAATACTTTACGTTATATTCCTATCATATCGTATTATACCGTGGAAATATATAGGACTATAATAGATACTGTAGTTTAATAAATAAGCAAGTTCCAAATTAAAAATCCAATTATAAATTCAAATGGTTTATTCAGTATAAAGCCCTTTTCCAGGGCACTTATACACGTCCCAAATATAGCTTGCCCTACCACCACTTCGGGACAAAATGGGCTGGTGCTGAGAAGAAGTGGCGGAAGAAACTCAGTCACCTTTGTCAGCCTCTTTTTCGANGATCACAAATTATTGTGTTCCTACTAAATTTCTTCTAAATCGGTTCAACGATTCTTGAAATAACACCATTTTATAAAATAATTATTGGTCACATCATCATAACGTGATCAATTTTACGATTTGGCCACGATATAAATGCATATTAGTGTTAAATTTGATTTATCACTTATTAATCAATAAACTTAAATGAGAAAAATTCAATAAAAATAAAGAAAAGATACCAATGAGGATCAGTACTGTTGTAGAAAATTCAATAAAACTAGTATCTACGTTAATCTTTAAGACATAAGAAAGATATATCTTTTTGAATTATCCAAATCGGACCATTACTTACGAAGATATTAAGTAATAAACATAGGCCGTTTTTGCCGCTAAAAGTCAACGTACGCAAGGCCGCGTGACGTCATTATATCCGAATCGAGCGCAGCCGACGTACTAATGGGATGGAAAATATTTTTTTCCGGCTAAACTATCAGTTTTAGAAAAAAACTTTTAATAACATTTATTCTTCAAAATAAAGTAACCTATCGACCAGTAATTTTTAAAAATAAAAATTGTGAAAAATAAGTATTGCTATGTCCAAAAACCACATTTTCATAGGATTCGATGCAATGCGGAGACGCGGTTGGGGTGAGTGTAACTTAATGATTGTTTGTATTGAACATAATAATACTTAATTATGATGCTAATACCCAGTTTCTGGCCTGGGGGGGGGGATAAGTCATACCCAGCTTATAGCCTGGCAGGGTTCGAGGATATATATCAAGGGATATATATCAAGATATATATCGGATATATATCCGATATATATCAAGCCGGTTTTGATGATATATATCAACTTTTAAAATTTGTTACTGTATTTGTACTTTTTGACATAAGATTTTTATTTTTTTAGTTGATTTTGCCGTATTTAAAAGAATATTTTATGTTTTTGCTTTATTTGTCTGATTTTAAGGTTTAAAAACATTAAAAACATGTTTATGTAGCACATATGCAATAGTATTCATGAATAATACAATAAAATAATAATATGGCTTACATACAAAATTGATATATATCAAAGTTGATATATATCGGATATATATCATAAATATCCGATATTTTGATATTTATAATAAATATCGGATATTTTCGAACCCTGATTTTTATTCGGAAGCGGAAGTTGGAGTTTCTCATTTTACAATATATTAAAAATAGGGTAATATTATCTTTCATATTTAGAATCGGAGATCTTAATTAAATTCTGAATTATTAAGAAACCAAAAACCTTACAATAAATTCTAATTTACGAATTATATAAATCTGAATTTCAATCTGTCAGTTAATATGGCGGCTGTGCAATGTTTTGTGTGTGTAGTGTTTAACAAGTTAAATAGTGTACCAATTATACATATTTACCATGGAATATTAATATAAATCAGGTATGTAGATATATATATTCTAACACGGCCATACTGACATGTACTTCGTTCTCGAAGTACTTTTCGATTTTATAAAAACAATACAGTGTTTACATTACAATTATTCAAATGTGAATTAGCCAGATGTATAACTACAGGAATAGCCACAGGCATTAAGCCATAAATATTTAGTCATAGTTACTTAGCCACAGGCACAGCCACAGGCACAGCCACCGGCACAGCCACTGGCACAAGTATTTAGCCACAGGCACAAGTATTTAGCCACAGGCACAAGTATTTAGCCACAGGCACATCCACAGGCACAGCCACAGGCAGAGTTTCTTATTGAACATTATATTTGCGTTTGGCACATACATAATAATTACCAATTATAAAATACCACAATCGCTCTGTCAGCCCTGACATCTATCAATCATTTCCTTGGGCCAATACCGCTAATTTTCTTAAGAAACTATAATTAACACTAATTTTTATTCCTCTCAGAGCAAAACAATTAGGTATATTATAAATATTGACTCTATGCAATATTATTACTTGAATTAAAAATAAAATAAGTTCCTTTGAATTTTAAGATACCTAAAACTTCTTTCACCAATGGTTTTGGGACACGTAAGTATACCAAATCACCTACTTGCAATGTTTATATTGTCTCAAAAAGCCTTGTAAAGGAAACTGAAACCATTTCATACAAAATTGGACCCCTATCTAAGGAGACAAAAATGATATCGAATAATATCTTAAAATTACCAGACCCTTACTAAAAATTGTGCCGAATTTAGTAATAATAATATGTATGCAGAGTTATTTAAAAGTTTTAAAAAAGGGAGGTCAAGTAATAGATAAACAATCTATACTTAACTAGTAGCCTGATCATAATGTGAAAAAATGTTTCCTGTTTAATAATAATATTTCTTTATTTTTCATTTCTATTCTAGCTACTAACAAGAAAGAGATTGTCCAAGAACAATACGAAATGCAATAACATCAGCTATCATCGACAGCTATCAGGGCACTGACAAAAAGAGATATATTTTTTTACACGATTGTTTTGTGTTTAGTCATTAATTGTCATTTAAGTAGCTTACATTTAAAATGGTTTGAATATAATTACATTTTGTTTTAATCGATTGTACTTGTCCATCAAAAATATTCTTATTTCTCCTTTCCCAGAAAGTGTTAGATTAATTATATTATGTACATACCTGATTGATATTAATATTTCATGTGACCTATAATTAATATTAGTAACTACACTATTAATTAACTTTCTATAACATCACACACACCAAGTATCAAACAGCCGCCATATTAACTGTCAGATAAAATTAGGACTTCCGTTTGCAAATAAGAATTTATTGTAAGATTTCCGGCTTCTGAATAGTGGTTATTAATGTTTCTTAAATATATTTTAATTGATAAATTAATAAGCCAACTGGCTAATATTCAATCAAAAAATAAATATTGTAAAATGAGAAGTTCCAACTTCCGGGTCCATTTTAATATTATTAGTTATAATATATTCGAACTTCCTGTTTATAGAATTTGTTGTAAGATCTCCAGCTTTTGGATAATAATTATTAATATTTCTTAAATATTATTAAATGTATAATTAATAAGCCTTACTATCCTTTGATCAAAAAAAATATTGTAAAATGAGAAATTCCAACTTCCGGGTCCGTTTAAATGTTAATTATATTTTATCTAACTTCCTGTTTTCTGATTGGTCGTCTTAAGTGACCAATCAGAATTGAGTAGAGGAAAGGTAGGAGATGGGTATAAATATATGGAATTCCTCGTTGAAAGGCAGTCTCGATGGATCTTTGAGGTGATGCTGACCAAAGTTAAGTGTACATTGTTTATTGGTACTATTATTGTGCTTGTTGTGTTATTGTATTGTATTATTGTGATATTGTATTAACACCTGGCTATGTGGCTGCGCCAGGGCTATTATTTTGACACCTGGCCAATTGATGGTGACATTCCACGGGGTCGGGTCGGTAGTTTGTTGACCAGTATAAAGAAGGATAATGCTAATAGGTGCTGGTTATGTTATGGTACAAAACCTAAGTCTTAACCTAACCTAAATCTAACTCTTGACCTAACCAAAACCTAAGTCTTAACGTAACCTAACTTAGAACTTGTGTTCTGTGTGTTTGATTATAAATACTGGTTATAAAAAATACCGTCAAAATGTTAATAATAAATAAGACTTAATTACTGCTAGATTATTATGTATACCTGGGACAAACAGTCCAGTTAGGTAGGTCCAACTTCGAGAAAGAGGTTAATCGTCGAATCCAACTCGGCTGGGCAGCGTTCGGGAAGCTTCGCGAAATTCTCACGTCCGAAATACCGCAGTGTCTCAAGTCAAAAGTGTTTGACCAGTGTGTGTTGCCAGTGATGGTGTATGGCTCTGAGACGTGGTCGCTTACTATGGGCCTCATAAGAAGGCTCAAGGTCACCCAAAGAGCGATGGAGCGTGCTATGCTCGGAGTTTCCCTGCGTGATCGAATCAGAAATGAGGAGATCCGTAGGAGAACCAGAGTGACTGACATAGCCCGCAGAATCGCTAAAATCAAGTGGCAGTGGGCGGGGCACATAGCTCGAAGAGCTGACGGCCGCTGGGGCAGGAAAGTTCTTGAGTGGCGACCACGAGCTGGAAGACGTAGCGTGGGCAGGCCTCCCACTAGGTGGACCGACGATCTGGTGAAGGTCGCGGGAAGTACCTGGATGCAAGCGGCGCAGGACCGGTCTTTGTGGAAATCCTTGGGGGAGGCCTTTGTCCAGCAGTGGACGTCTTTCGGCTGAAACGAACGAACGAACGAACGAATAATTTTCTGTCTTAAACATGTAGACAGAAACAGCAGTTTTCATTTGGAATAAACATCACGAACTGGAGCGTCTTCCTCGCTGACTGGGGTCATAAAACACTTATGCGACTTGAAGCGATCTTTGATGAGTTTCTAATGGAATTACAATCAGCGAGATGGGGCATGCGTTAAGTTTGAACCGTATTTAATTATATGT